GGGGGGGGCTTAAAGGAAAAAAAAAGGTTTGTCATACAATTCATGTATCATGCAGTTAAATGTTTAAGTCTATTAAAGAGAGTTGTGCAAGGACTTACTCCTGTTTTTTCCTGATTGAAATATTCAACTGAGTTTTTGTTTCATATTTAGCCAGAACACAGGAAAATTCTAAAGCTATTCGGGAGGAAAACTGTTAAAAACCAGTCTGATAAAGGCAAGGGTTATGTTGATTTGTAGTATTAAAAAAAAAAGGACCAAATGATTAGAAAAGATTAGGGGACAGTCTGTTTTCATTTGTGCCTGATTAACCAAAAATAGACAAACTATTCTGAGAATTACCAGAGACAGCTTCTTCCACTTAACACATGGACTACCCATACTTTTAGGTATTGAAATATCAATTCTACAATCAGGACTACAACTCACTAGAGCTAGTCAGCTACAGGTTTTACCCAATACAAATAAAATTGCAAACGTTTTACTGCTGCTTTATTTTGAAGCATCTGTATTAAATAATATCCAAAACTTGTATTACTTAGAATTATTGGATAATTAAAAGTTTTGTTTATGTTATTTGACTATACATTTTAAAATGTTTACTATGAAGAGAATTTCCAAGAGACAGAAAGGAAAAGCACATTAAACCAATTATTCAAGAAATATTGATTTTAATTTTTCTAAAATCAGGAACTATGATAAACAAATTGAATGTGACCACACCAAAGGCAAAATACAGGAAAAAATAACGCTTGAAAGCCATGTTCAGGCTTAGAAACATGGTCTAAATAAAGCATACCCAGTTTAGCATTCTTTCCTCTACCGAGCAAAGCAAGTTTACTAGAAACCACAACATTGGAATTTTCAACTGACTTCATTTTTTTAGGTAAAAAATTTGAAGAGAACAAAAATTTAAGCACTCAATGCCTACCCTGGAGTCTTGTAAAAGAACATGCTCAACTGTCAGTGAAAATACAAGTTTACAAGGCTGAAAACAAAACTTTCAGTGAGTTTAAATCCCAACACAACAGTTATTTTAGAGCTTGTCAGATACAGGTTTTACCCAATACAAATACAAAGGAGACTGAAAACCTTTGAAATGAAGATCCTTCTTTAGGGTAGCAGCTGTCACAAATAAAAAGGACTCAGTACAAGTATATTCCGTAGACATATTCCCAGAATCCTTTTGTCTTGCACTATCAAAATAAAAGGATCTTTGTCTTGAGCTGATCTGCTGAAGGAGGCACCAAATCCCTGCCCTGTTCACTGAAGTTGACTGCCACTACACGGCAGTGAATTTTTATGAGCAGACAGCCCAGCTTTTCTCCTGCAGTGGCTGATAGGCTCAAACTGGGAACCTGATAGTTAGCGGCCCAACTTCAGGATTGTCATCAGGAGGGCGGAATCCCTAGAGACGAACATCACACTTGGTGGCAGGTGAGTGAAAACGAGGAAGACCCTCAAGGAGGTGGGCTCAGACCTATGACATGCACGGTGCTACGAATGATGTCATGTAACTGGGTCACTCTGAATGGGAACCCACTGGATAGTAACAAAGTTTTTAAACCCATCGATCTAATTTTACAGCGCATTCATATTCTCAATCCAGACAGCGTTGTTGTGTACTCTTTTGGTGTCTTTTCTAGACTTTTTCATTCTTTTATCTTGCAGAACTTGCAATAGTTTTCAAAAGTATTTATATTGGTACGACCCCTAGGTTGTAGACATAAAGATACTCCTCTCACAGAAACCTGCAATTTGTCAGCCTAGGATCACAGAAGTGTTCCCATTCTCACAGACAAATTCGCAGGCTAAGCAAATTTAAAGAACATGTTCCACAGCCAACTCTGGTGTTGGGAAAACACGCAGTTGGATTTTAGTTCTTCCAAGTAGCTACCCTCACCCTTCTCCAGCTCAAATGGCTAGGGAAACAGTTCAAGGGCTCTGTTGGTAACACACTTATGCCAGGGAGTCATTTTCCCTTTAAAGCTAAGAATCTCGTCATTTTAAGAAATGTGTTTTTAATAGCGTTTTTTCCAGGACTTTGGGAACACAAGTATGTTCATTTCTTCATGTGATGAAGCATGGTTGCTCACTAGGGATTTCCTGGGGCCATTCTTCATCTTCAAAGCACCCAGCAAAATCTGGCCTGTTTTGGTTTAAAATTTATATATCCAGACACAAATATATAGCACTGAATATATACATTTACCCATTGTTGTTCTTTTTGTAATTTTTCTTTCATGGTGTTCCAAGGTTCCTTCTAACATTTCTTTTCTGCTTTAAGAACTTACTTTAATCATCCCTTTAGGGTAGCTGGCTGGTAACAAATCTTTCTTTAATATTCCCTTTCCTGAGATTGTCTTTACAGTTCTGAAAGATTTTCACTGGGTTTGTAACTCTGGATTGACAGTCTTTTCCTTCAGCACTTGAAATAAGCCAGAAACCTGGCTTCCAAGGTTTCTGATGAGAAATCTCTCCTTTGAATTATTTTTCCGCTTATAAGGTGCTGTTTCTCTCTTGGCTTCAAGATTTTACTTTTTCCTCAGATTCTGATGGTTTGATTATATGTCTTCATGTAGATTCCTTTTAGATTATCCTGTTTGGGATTGGTTTTGTGTTGTTTGCCAAATTTGGAAACTTTTCAGCCATTATTTGAGTCCATGCCCAAACCACACCGTTTCTCTTCTTTGCGGACACCAATGATGTTAGATCTTTTGTGTATTTCCACAATTCTCTGAATTTCTGTTTTCTTCTTCTGCCTACCTTCTCTGTTGTTCCAATTATGTAATTTCTATCGTTCTGGCTTTAAAATCACCAAGTCTTTCCCACAGAAAGCCTAATCCTATGCAGATGCCTGTTGACCTCATGAAAGGTGGCCAAGGTGAACAGTGCTCTCAGGATAGTGAGCACAATAGTATTTATGTAAGACTCACCCGTGGAATTGAAGGGCTTTGGTGTTTAAAGGAATCTTAGTGGTGGGCTTGCCTATGTTTTTCAAAAAAAATTTTTCTTTTCAATCATATCAAATGTAGAGTTGTGTCTATCAATATTATAGCAATTTCTGTTTTAAGTGACTCCCCTGGTCCATGAGTACCCATCGAGGTCTTTCCAGGTGAGTAGGGTCTCTCATACTGCATCTTGCCCTAGCATTTTAACACTGTCATTTTAACTCCCACCACTGTGTGAATTTGTCTTTCTCAGCATAAGTTCTACTACTTAAAAAAAAAAAAAAAACGCTTGCTTCCTTAACTTTTTAACTGTGACATTTTTCTAACAAAAGTTTTAATATTTTAATAGTTCAACAAGTATAATAATCAACATCTTTCTTTGTCAAATTACTGGACCAACTGCTAGATCTATAAACTATGCCTCACACAACTGCACAATGGAAGACAGTTTGCTTTACAAGTCTACATAAAACCTTCGATAAGTAGCTCTCGTAGACACCTGTTGCATTAGTAAACTGAAGTAACTCAATTTATTTCTTCATCATAAACTTTATCAGAAATGCCTGTATCTAGCATGGTCATCTTACACCTAGGCTTCTTAAATTATAGCATTGGACCATCAGATCAATTTGTGAAAAGCATTAGTAAAATATAAAAATGGGTATAAGTAAACAATCACGAAAGTCATTATAAAACAACTGACTTCTAAAACAAACCTACACAATGAACACTTTTGCAATATGCACAACAAAGTGATGGAAAATAGCTGAGTTGTGGCATATAAAAATTACTTTGTTAGGATTAAGTTCCCTCGGACCTTCTATTATAAAGCTTGTTTGCTCCCACAAATCAGTTGGCAGTAAATGAGGGGAGGTCAGGGAAGGTTACCAGGAGGAAAAGGCCAAGGTCATTCTCCTACCATCCTCCCCTCATTGCATCACAATATCCACTAATTATCAACAGCTTCCCACAGCTCAACAAAACGCAAGTGGGCCTATTAGAAGCTGCCACACAGCACTGAGACCTCTAACAAAACTGAAATAGGGCTGCTCGGTCACTGTTCACTAGTGAGTACCAGTATTCATATGATGTAGCACAGGCAGTTCAATAGTTTGTGTTTTGTGTTCACGGAAATTCTTAATTTCCCATGAGACCCCAGCAACATTTCACCGAAACCCACTTCAACACTGGAGGATTTCCCCTTATGTGAGGTCATTTTCATCTGACTTGGATTCCTCAGGAACTTGACTTGCAAGCTCAGGCTTAGTTCCTCCCTCATTCGCTTTTGTCTCAGACCCTGGTTTTGTCTGCTCCACCTGCTCGCTACTCTCTAGCACCTCCTGCTGGTTATTTCTTTCTGCTAAGCCACTTTGATGTGATTTGTCACAAGATTCCAATTTTGCTTCTTTCCCATTTCCTGCATGCTCTGCTTGCTTTTGGTTAATCTGTGCCTGGTCCTTGGCACTCTTCACTACCTCCTGAAGATTATACTTTCTGAACAGCATGTAATCTTTCACAACACTCAAGCAACAAACAGCTTTGATGATTTCTACCACCACTGTGTACTGTGGATTGGTGAGATCCACCTTGTTTTCTGAGTTGAGGCTGCCTACGATTCCTGTAACAAAGAGAGTTAAGAAAACACATTAGGGCATTATTAAGCTTGGTGACTACAAAGACAATTTTTTACCCCTTTCTATTCATGACTTGTAAAATTCTTCTCCATGGATTTCAAATTCACTCAACTTCTCAAAGTTAAGTGAAAATAAAATCCTGAAACACTTGCCAGCATAATAATTTTCTTTTAAAAAAACAAAACACAAAATCATTCCATCTTGATTTGAAAAAGACTTTATCTACGCATCAGAAAAATCTCAAATCCCTGTATCAGAATCAGTTATGTTTGGGTTAACTTTATCCAAAGAATCTGGTCTCCGGTATCTGACAAACCTCCAAAACCTAGGACATTTCCCTGCTGGCTGGATTATCTTTGATGAGGCTTCCAGTCAGGTTATGCTAATGACCCTCGGGAAAGGGGTCAGGTCAGAAAGCCCCATCTGGTGGTACCACCATCATCATCCAAGGAGGAAGCTAATCATGCCTAAATAATGAAGCCCCAAATCAGGGTTCTGGATAAGGAAGCTCCATAGGTTTCCTGACAGGTGAAAGACAGATGAGTTGGGTTGGTAATCTGTCCCTTTTGAGGATGCAGAAGCTACCCTTGAGGAACCCTCCTAGATCTCACGACCCCATGCATCTCTTCAGGGGTATCCATTTAGCCATAATGGAGGTTGGGCGCCCTAATTATGACGTGAGCTCTGGACAGTTAGTGTTAGAGAAGAAATGCTGCATATGCAGCTGGTGCGTGTACTTCCAGTGCTAAAGAAGTGAAACTTCATTTTCCCAGCAGCTTCCAATTATTTTAAAGACATTTTAATATACTTGCTACAGGCTTTGACCACAGCCCTAATTCATTTTTCTAAAAATCTTAAAAACAAGAATATGAGACCTGCATGGAGTCATTAAGAGAAATGTACCTGCTAATTCCTTGATAACATCGTCTCTATTCATGTGACTGTTATTTCGAGATTTGTATACAATCTGAAATGTTCCTTTATTTGGTGCTTTAAACCAGGGTTCCAAAAATGTTTCTGCATATTTTTTCATATCTTCTAAGAAAGCCTTGCATGTGCCAGAGATGGGTAGCATTCGTAGAATAACCCGAGTTTTCTTCTTCTTGGTATTGTACATATCCTGGAGAATATGATGTACCAACTTCTCAGGTTCTAATAAAACAAAAACGATCAGCAGAGCAAATAAGAATATAAGCTCTCAGACATTTTATAGATTATTTGAACTCAAGATTATTTGATGACAGAAGGAATTTTCACAAGGACATTTAAATGAGTCACCCCAGTCATTTTCCTCCAACTATGAGGGGGAACTTCAAAAAGTTACAAGAAAAAAAAAATGGAATGAAAAGATAATGAAGTTTTCCCACAAATGTTTTGAAACCTTTTCTTCTATGCCTATTGGACCAAAGTTAAAACACAAACAGAAACTACTACTACTACTATTAGGGTTCCAATTCACACATATCAAGGGTGATTCCAAGCAAAACCTGTTTAAACATGTTTTAAATCATGTGGATGGCTGCAGACAAGTTCTCTCATAACACACTTGTCTTAGTCTCATTAGCTTACACACACACACACACACACACACACACACACACACACACACACACACACAAAGAGGGTACTCTTTGTGCCATGGTGTAAAAATGACTCTGCAGTCAGGG